TTCAGTTGTCTTATCAGGCTGTCTCATCAGGGCTTGACGCCCGGAGGAAGCTGCTAACTGAAATGTTGGTGGCTTGGGTTTGCTTCGGCCTAACATTGCCCTTCTAGAAGGCGGGGAAATGAGGAGTGCTTAGTCAATTCAAGCGGTTAAAATAGCAAGTTTATTTTTGCAAGTTAAAGTCTGCACCTTTGCATACTTTGTGTTACAGTAAAGATTTTTTAACTGAGATCTACCTTTTTATTTAGTCACAAATCTTTAAAGAAAACTTGGAAAAATGTTATGAAAAACTCTCAATATGTGAAAATTTAATTTGGGAGTGAAGATGAGGAACAAAGTTTTGATATTTATATTTGACTAAAGTTATTTATAATTTTTAGCTTCATTTAACATTATCAATTCTGTTTCCTAAAGCTCCGTCAATTAAGTATCTTTTCTGAGGTCAGCTACATAAACTTTCTTAACAAGCACTAAGCAATTCTTTAACAAATAAAAGGCTGAATGGCTTTCTTAATAAAGGTAGAAAGAGGGAAGAAGCGGAAAAAGGAGAGAGAGAAAGAAAAGAAAAAAGAGAAAGAGAAAATCAGGAGAGAATAGCTTGCATATCTTAAAGGAGGAAATGGTTTGCTTCTGATCTACCACAGGCTGTTGGCTTGACAAAGCCATCAAATTGCCTTCTCTTTATCAGTTGGCATGGGTTAACATTAAGACATCAGAAATTCAGAATCTATGATTCTTTAATTCCAGATACTTTTTTTTTTTTTTTACTTTTATTGTGGTGAAAATATACACAAGACATTCACCAACATAATAACTTCTACATTTATAGCTCAGGGATATTGATGACATTTTTCATGTTGTGCCACCATTATTTTTCCAAAATATTCCATCACCATTAGCATAAACTCAGTTCCTCTCGAACAAAAGCTTCCCCTTTCCCCCCTCCCTTCTACTCCTGGTAACCACTAATAATCTTTCTCATAGATATATAATTAAAAAAAAAATTATTGTGATTTAGGTGAAAGTTTACAGAGCCAATTCACTTAAAAATATGGAACACTTCATGAATTTGTGTGTCATCCTTGCACAGGGGCAATGCTTATAATTTATTTTTTCAACCTATATAGGAATTTCCCTCCACCCCATCCCTGATAACCAACAAAGAAAACTCCCTTCCCTGTATAAACCTTTCCTTGACTTTTTACATAGTGGACTAATACAATAATTTGTTCTGCAGACAATAACTGTTAATCAGAAAAAACAAGTAGCATATCGGACAGGTTAAAAGAAGCAATTGGACTGAGGCTATTAATTAGAGGAATTCACCAGCCACTCCTCGGAAGGAAGGTTGGGCAATCTACTGCCGTAGTTAGTGATCCTGTCTGGAAACCCAAGGATAGGTCCCTATGAGTCAGTCCGACTTGAGGGCACATAACAACAACAACAAGCAATAAGGTATCATTCATAGCAACTAACCAATTAACACACAGGTACTAGATGGGTCACATGGGTCACTCAATTGGACGCAGCTCCTACTACATCTCCGAAGGAACTTCGTCAACTAATTTTCTGGCATTTAATCCAAGTTGCGGGACACGGTTTGATTAATTGTAAGTTTTAAGACAAATTACTTTTTTCTGCTATATATCTTATTACCCTCATATACACAGGTGAAGGAGTTGAGAAGTCCAAGGTCACTTGGAAGACTAAATTGCAGAGATAATTTTAAACCCAGATCTTTGAAAATCCAGAGTCCATGCTGGAAGTTTGGAGTTATCTTTCCAATATTGTTGCAGTCTGTTCTGATACTACTTGTGCAAAGACCAGAAATATTTATTACTAAAGTCTAAGTATACTTGTTTTGAGGAGCTCTTGTAGCATAGTGGCTAAAGCGCTTGACTGCAAACCAGAAGGCTGGCGGTTCAAACCCACCAGCCACTCCTCAGAAGGAAGATGGGGCAATCTACTTCTCTAGTGCTAACTGCCTCGGAAACCCAAAGAGGGGTCGCTACCAGTTGGGTCTGACTCGACGGCAAACAACATACTTCTTTTGGTGAAAATGCTATAATAGAGGATATAGAGAATATCTGTCATCTCTGCATTGCTAATTAAAGGAACAGCCAACAGGAACTTTACTATGCTCTGCAGAGTAGAGAAGCACAAATATTCCATTTTCCACTGTAATTATTGTTGTCATTATTTGCCATTGAATCAGTTCTAACTCATGGCAACTCTGTGTATAACAGAATGAAACCTTGTCCGATCCTGTGCCATTTAACTATCACTGGTATGTTCAAATCCATTGTTGTGGCTATTGTGTAGCACGTTTCAACCTAGAGGGTTCATCTGCCAGCACTACTGTATCAGACAATATTCTGTTGCGATCCATAAGGTTTATCTTTTGCTGCTTTTCCAACGTAGATCACCAGACCTTTCTTTCTAGTGTGTTTTATTCTGCAAGTTTTGCTGTAACCTGTCTACCACAGATGGCCTGACGGTTGTTTGAAATATTGGTGGCATAGCTTTCAGCATCCTAGCAACACGCAAGCTATCACAGTATGACAAACAGACAGGTGGTTGACCATATTCTTAAAAGTCAAAAGACTTGCTTTTAAGTATCCCTAGCACTTGACTGCTAACCAGAAGGCTGGTGGTTCAAACCCACCAGTCACTCCTCGGAAGGAAGGTTGGGCAATTCTACTTCCGTAGTGATACTGCTTCGGAAACCCAAGGAGGGGTCGCTATGAGTGGGGGCCGACTTGACGGCAAATAACAACAACAACAACAACAAGCTATATGTGAAAAAGACTATCTCTTTTTCTGTCTTTTATCAAATACAATGAATGCAAAATCTTATTGCAAGTCACTTGTATGACTTCATAAGTAAAAAACGAGCAAGA